TTCTGATTTTCTTTGCAGCAAATACAAGTATGATTACAAAGTTATCTCTTACTCTATGGTTTCGAAAAGAAAAGCTCACTTTTTTCTATTATCTAGGTTTTTTTTCTAATTATCAAAACCACAAATCATAAGTGCCCTTTTTTCTGTTTCACAAACAATTAATTTCTCATATTGATATGCTGCCAGAATCCAAAGACTATACATGGAAGCCAAATCACATTGGCAAAAACACAGCTGGCTTCTTCACACAGAAAAACATGCAATTTATGCGGAAATGGCCTAAATAAGTTTTTTTTTCCCCTTCCAATGAACAGGACCCATAAGGATTATCTTAAACACTTCCATACCTTCAAATCATAGCATTAGAATGTAACAGTATATATAAATATAGAAATGGAAACACAAAACACAGGACTTAAGGAAAACTGAAAAATGTCATTGAGCAATTTACAAGGAACAGCTTATGCAGGTCGTTGTGTTGAGATACAGATAAAAATATCTTCAGGCAGATATATTTTTTATTTTCAAACTCTGCAAATGAAGAGCACTAGTTCAGTCAGTCTTTTATTGTGGTCTCAGACCAGTACAAAAAAATACATCCATGAGTGATCTGGAACCACAATAAAACACTTTAGCTTAAGAAACCGGTAAATAAAAATTTAAAGCAAAATTAAAATACATTTATAAAACAGCCTGATAGGGACTCATGAGTGAAATAAAAAAGAAACAATCTAAGTCTAGGTTATAAATGAGATAATATGTAAAGTTACAGAAAATACACCTAGGTAGCAGGAATTTGAGCTGTCAAGGTTTGATGGATCTTACATGCTGCTATACAAAACCTAGCCATATGCACTGTAATAAATGGTAGTTTGTCTATAAGTAGCATCTGAACACAGGCCAAGTTTGAACAATCAGGATATCTGCTGATCAGAGGGAAGATAAGTCTGGTTCAAATGTCTCTATAAAAAGAGCAGTGAAGAAGGACACGTCCTATGGTTTCCACCTTTCCAGAATCACAGGTGCGTTTGCTGCTTCCAATGGCACTATTTAATAACCACAGAAAATCCTTTAGTTGCTCACCACAAATTCACTTTATTATTGAACTATTATTATTAATCCTACTTGTCGTACTTGACTCTATTGAACTCAACTATTATGCTGCTACAAATCCTGGTGAAATCAATTTGATGGTCCTATGATTCCTGTTCTTTTAATTAAAATGGGTTTGATTTGTGCCCTTGACTTGGCTTTTAGGAAAGTAATGCATTACAAACCAAAATTATCTGTACTGATTAGCCATCCTGCAGAGTTATATTACTCTGAAAGCGTTATAAATCTGAATCATTGCCCCCCCAAAAAAAAACATTTCCAAGAGAAGGAGAAACATTCCATAGGATTGAAAATGAGTGGTGATATTTTTGAGAAGTTACTCAAGAACAACTTCTGATTTCCTAAAATTCTGCCTGAGATTCTCAAAGACAGAAGATGTTCAGGATGGAAAGTCTGAATGTAAACTGTGCTAAATGAGGGTATTCTGCAACAAATACAACTTCAAGTCATATAACATATGGGGACAAACAAACTAAAGGGATCAATAATAGCCAAGCTTCAGTTTCTAATGCCATGTGCATTTCTCTGTACCAACATCCAAAGAAATAACTATCATGAGAAGATATCCTATTCACTGCATTTAATTCATTTAATTTTAGTTTAACTTCAGTTTCAATTAAATTAAGTCACTTTCAGATTTCATTTTGCTTCCCTCCACTTTTCTATATCCAGCACCCAGCACAATACCTAAGGCCAAGGGAAGCATTCAGGCTGAAACAGTTGTGTAATCTTGGCTTAAAGCATGCTTACAAATAAATATACACAATTGTCTGTGCAGTGCCATAACTTGGCTTGAGTACATGGGACAGATAATATGCATTTTTTTAATTTACGGACTGCGACGCAAAATGAAACTGAGCAAGGCAGATCTTATTTAAGAAAGAGGAAGCCACTGCAAATTAGAATGAATATTCAAGGTATTTTTCCCCAATGTGTTGGACTTAAGTCACCCATGGGTGTGTTCCACAAGTTAATGCCAGCAATTTGCTCTGTTATGTGGCTCAAACATTATAAAACTCATCCAAGGAAGGGTGGGGAAAATTGTAGCAATTCAAGGGTTTAAAAAAAAAAAAACAAGTTTTGTGCTGTCTTGCTGAAGTTGGTTGGCACCAACCAGATTTATAAAAGTAGGTAAGGAACTGGTTAGTTTTATGAGATATTGAAATAATTTTATTCCCCCAACCAAGTGGGATCTCACATTGGAGACTGTAGCACTCACTAGAGATTGTAGCTCTCTTAGTATTCATATCGGTAGCACATCAGTACTCAGAATAGAAACTACAACATGTTTAGAAGCAGAGCAGTATATATATCGCAGTTCTAGAGAGGTGCGAAAAATCCCACCAATTATACCTGCCCAGAGTCGCTCTTGAGCGAGATGGGCGGTGACTAAATTTGAAATATAAATAAATAAATAAAATTATAACATTGTTAAAATTTTAACTTTTTAAAAAGCAAGTTCCTATCCCATAAATTAACTTTTATCCTGCTTTTCTTCCATGTTCCCAAACTTTGAATACTGTATGGTACAAATGTACATAAGGACAACAGCAGATAAGTTTAGGGTACAAGATATTTTAAAGTATATGATTGTTATGTATAATATCAGAATCCAGGACAATTGCTATGACCCAGTTCCTTGAGCAAACCACACATTATATAGGAGCTTGGTCTTTATTTATCCAAAAGATAGCCAACATGGAGGAGATAGGTCAAACTTTAAAGAGCTATGTCAACCTTCACTGCCCTCCCCGAGTCACAGAAGAGCAGGCGAGTCCATTGCTGTTTCTCCATCTGGACACCTGCCATGATCGCACCCAAGTTCAACAGGCAGCAGTTCCTTTCCTGGTGGGCTCTCAAGATCATAGACAGCATTAAGCGTTCACGAATGGGCATCAGAGCTTCCACCTTATGGGCCCTGATATTTTGGTCTAGATCAGTGTTTCCCAACCTGGACAACTTTGTGATGTGTGGATTTCAACTCCGAGATTTCTTAGCAATGACCATGCTGGCTGGGGAATTCTGGGAGTTGAAGTCCATACTTCACAAAGTTGCCCAGGTTGAGAAACACTGATCTAAATAGCTGGTGTGGGTCTTCCGGGCTGTGTGGCCGTGTTCTGGAAGTTTTGTTTCCTAACGTTTCGCCAGCACCTGTGACCGGCATCTTCAGAGGGCAGGAGCACAGACAGGAGCGGTTCTCTCTGTGCCCAGGATGATGTGACCCTGTTGTGGGTATTGGGGGTGTGTGGGGGGGGTTGGGTTACTGAGTGGCTGCTTGTTTTGGTGTCAGCATCTGTGGGTATCTTCCTGGGGATTAGACAGGGTTTTTTCTTCTATTGAATTGTTAACGAAGGGCTGCTGGGGGTGATTAGCAAGTTCATTGTATACTTGCCCGCAACTGCATGGTATGCGGTATACTCCTGCGGCGGTGAGGGGATCCCTTTTGTCTTTTGCTGATTTTAGCACAAGTTCATTGTATACTTGCCCGCAACTGCATGGTATGCGGTATACTCCTGCGGCGGTGAGGGGATCCCTTTTGTCTTTTGCTGATTTTAGCACTTCTTGTACTTTTCTGGTGGGTCTGAAGATTGTTTGGAAATTGTGTTTTTCCATCAGTTTTCCCATGCGGTCTGTGACCCCTTTGATGTAGGGCAGAAACCAACACCCACCAACAAAGTATTT